GGATCGATCTGCGTGGAGCTGGCGACGCTGGAGAACTTCACCTACCCGGGCGACCTGTTCCCCTCCTCCCGCTTCTACCGCCGCGACCTGTCGCAACCGCCCCTGGAGCTCGCCGAGGGCTGCGTCTTCAAGCCCTCGGCCGGCGATCTGCCGACGCCAGACGTCGAGCTGCTCGCGGCGCAGACCTTGCGCTGGAAGACGGTTACGCCGGACAGATAGCCTTGGGTTTGTAGTGTTCGATCTGGGCGTCGGTGAAAAGCATGGTAGGTTCTCCGTGTGAGGGAGAGATTAGCCTAACCGGGAAGATCCTTGCGCTGTTCTTCGGCGTTTCAGCAGAATCGCTCTTATCTACAACAGTGCGTTGAGATCCTTGAAGGCTTGCTCGAATCGATCAAGCTCCTGTTCACTCAATTCATTCTCAAGACAGCCGATGTTTTCGCTCAAGTAGCGAGCGGGCCGAAAGTGATTGAAGGGCTGGTTATTTGGGAGGGGATTACTTTCCAGATATTCTTCGAGTCGACGTATTATTCGAGGATGGTTGCTAGACAGGTCAGTCAAGCTGATAGAGACCCCAAACGCTCCGTTCACCAATTTCAGATAAAACTCAGATTCGAACATATCCTCGATATCGGCTTCAGGACCTTGAGCATAATCTGCATAGGTTTGAACATTCTTCTTCTTCAGCAGCTTTCTTTTGTAGAGGTCTTCGATCTTCTGCTGATCCTTCTTCTGGTAATCGATCAGAACGGCAAGGTTCAGATTACTCTGGGCACCGATCAGAGCAACAAAAGTGGGTACCTTGTCAGACCCACCAACAGGGGTGATCGTCCAGTCGCTACTTAGCCCCTCTTTTCCATGCGCCTGAAGAATAGCTGAAATGGTTTGAATGTACAAAAGGTCCGAGATGCCTTCGACAATGAGATTGTTCGGGCCAATGAAGAGGGTTTGGTGAATCTCGTAACCGAGGGCACCTTGAAGAGGGAATAGACTATCCGGTGTTGCGTCGAGGACCTCGGTTATGACCTTGGTCCCTTCTTGTTCCTCAGACAGATGGTCTGAGTCGGATTCGATTCCTAGGTCTTGGACGATGCGCACACGATCAAATCGGGTCGGGTCAACCATGAACGGTGAATGGGTAGTATAGATGAGTTGATGATGAGGTTTGAGTTCCTCTTCGAAGTAGCGAAGGAGGTCTGCTTGGGCCTTGGCATGGAGAGAGAGGCCCGGTTCGTCCAGAAGAAAGATGATGTTTTCACGTTTTTTACGAAGCTGCGAATACCAAGCGAGGAAAGAAAAAAACCAGACGAAGCCACGAGAGCGGGCACCAAGCGCCGTGCTCACCATGTGTCTCGTGTCGTGTACACGTCCCCAAATGTTCATGCCTGAAGTCATACCGTCTGGATCTCTAGGTTCCGCCCTAGGCGGATATCGACTCATACGAAGATGTCGGTTCTGAGACCAATAAGTGAGCACCCTCTCGGTAAGCCGGTTCTCCGCGGCCTCGATACTGAAATTAGGTCTTCCGTCTTATCCGGATCAGTGAGTTGGTCGAGATTGAGACCTGCGAGTTCGATTAGGCCCAAGAGCGGATGATCCGAATCCTTAAGGGTATGATGGGCTACGCGCTGCTTGAGGGTATCGACATTATCCTGACCTTCCATCTGGTAATACTCATCGAAGTAAAGGAACTTCGGACTCGGTCATGAGGATACGGTTGTAGGCTACACAGAAACATTTGCTCGGAGGACTCCTGGAGCGTGAGCATTAGCTCCTGCACAGCTTTCATCCTGTTGGAAATCGATCGTTGTCGCAGGAAAATCATCTTCAGCTTGTGGAATCGGCTTTAGCCCGTTGAAAAATCAGCAAGACCTCAGCATTTCTTCGACTGTCCCAGATCAAGCAGCTTCTGATGACGTTTGTGGAAGGCCAGAAGCCTCGACGAGATGCCTTATAGCTGCTTGCTGTCGCACATTCAGTAGCGCGAATGTGAATTCATCTTCATCTGAATATCCTTTATGGAGTGTCAAGGTTGGTGTTTCGTCTGGGACATTGAGATCCAAAGGTTCTTGGATAGCGGTGATGTCTGTCAGGTTCACAATACGATGTGGCGTGGACGACCTCCTGCCGGCTTCGGCGTCCTAGCTTCAACGTCGTCTCGTAGTTCGCTGCTGCTCGCGCGGATACATCGAGCGTGGCACACAAAACTGCCATCGCTCCTCAATGATGGGATTCAAGCGGTACAGAGCCTTCAATAGTGCAGTCTTGCCTGCTTCATTCTTACCGACTAGGCAGGTGACAGCGCCACATCTCCACACTCGGTCGAGTCCTGAATGCTCTGGAATTCTGTGATACGTACCTTGGTAAGCTTCATCGTCCCTCCGTTAGAACTCGCACCGCGTTTGCAAGCAATGCACGTAGCGGGTATCAGTCCTGTCGACCATCGATCGACCAGCCGATGTTTCGTATAGGGCTCTATGACTCTGTACACATGGGGTCACTTCCACGATACTGCCACTAGAGTCTGCTTCAGCATAGTGCCATCTCCCGACCCACCGCCTTGCGAGAGAGTAGAATAAGATGGCGCGAGATTGTGTAAAAAGTAGCCTCCGTGGTCAATTCAATCTCAGCCGGAATGGAGACACGCCAAGGGTGGCGACTCTCGTCTGTTAGGGACGAGGTGAGTAGGCCATCATTCCGGTCAAACTCGGTTTTTTCGCTAGTAGCCAGCGGCGCTCCGCCGGGTATGGCAATAGAGATCGGCGATTTTGCGTACTGGGAGCGGCAGGCGGTGAAATCGGCGTTGCGGTATTCTCCTAGATGAATGAATCCCGAAATGCGGTCTTCCTCAGCGCGACCGCAAACAGGAAGGGGATGGAATCGCCCGGGCGACTCACTTGGCTGCGCAGCTTTACCTGATCGCCCTCGATGACGCCGGCGATTTGCTGCTGGGAAAAATCGCTTATATGGGTGCCGCCGATCCAATGCCCCTCCTGTTCGAGGAATAGCTGGTGCTGGCTGCTGCTGCTCGAATAGTTGATGGTGAGGTCCCAAGCACCGCTGACATCGGTTGCCGGAGGGGTTAGTTCCGTCGATTGGGGGCTCCGTTGCGCCGATAAAATGCGGTGGATCCGGTCGGCGACTACTTGGTCGTTGCCCGGCTGCATCTGGTTAGGAGCGATGCCGATGGAGGTGCGGCCGTTGGCACCGCCGCTGGCCACGGCAATGCGGGGTGTATTGCGGGCGAAATCCTCGGCGACTTCTGCGCCGGTAATGTGCAAGACGGCTGGGTCCCAGCTAATGGTGAGGACCGGGGCGCGGTTGGACAGGCCGGTGGGGTCTGCGACCTCGGTCGATACGCTGTCAATGCCGCGCACCCGCTGGGCGATATAGTCGAGATAGGACAGCCAAGTCTGCCATTCGGCGGCGTGGTCGCGCCGCACCCAAGCTTCCACCGCCGCCAGCATCCCCATGATTTCTTCCTTGCCGATTTTATCGTCGCGGCCCGGCCCGTGGTGCGGCGAACTGAATTGCCATGCCGACTGGAGCAAGGCTTTATCGCCCAGCACCAAGCCGGCGCACTGGGGCCCGCACAGGGCTTTGCCGCCGCTGTAGGCCACGACAGTGGCGCCCCTTTGCAAGTGGACATTGGGAATGGTGAGGTTTTCGGCCGCGGAGTCGGCGAGGATGGGAATTTTGTGCGGGCGGGCCACGTCAGCAATGACCTCTAGGGAAAGCGGCTGGCCGGTGGCGGAGCCTGCCCCCGTAGTTAGGTAGATCATGGCGGTGCGGGGATTGATGGCCCGCTCAAGTTCGGCTTGGGTTTCGACCATGACAATTTCGACGCCGATACTGCGCACGGCGTGGTCGTAGGCGTTGCGCGAGTACCGGGGGATGATGACTTGGGTTTTGTCTAGGCCGGTCAAATCCGGGATGCGGATCAGCTTTTCGGGGTTGCCGCCGGTGACGCAAGCCGCGGTGATGTGCTTGAGGCCAGCGGCGCAGCCCGCCGGAATCAGGCCCCAGTCGGCCCCAGTGATTTCAGCCAGTCTTTGGCCGACGGCTTCGGCCAGTTCGTCGTATTGGACGAAGTAGCCCGAGGCCGCTTCCATGGCCGCCACAACTTCGGGGAGTTCGACGGAGCCGCCGATGATGGTAAAAGTGCCACGGCAGTTGATGATGGGTTCGACGCCGATGGCTTGGTATATGTTTTGGTCGCTGGTGTCCAATGTCATGCGGGCCTCCCTTGTGGATTATGTATGAGCAAACTTACAAAGGTTAGGTCAATCCCCATATACGGGCGGCCGTACCGCCTAGCATTTGGTCCTTTTCGCGCTGGCTGAGAAAGTCGAAACCCTCTCGCACTAGGCGCAACTCCTCGCCAAGGTCGGCCAGTTGTGCTTGGTGCGATGGTGACCTGGATAACCAGTGCCCCATAGCATGCGCTCGGCCCCAAAAGCTTGGTGCAGACGCTGGATGAAGGGATGCACGTCGGCATAGGGAAAATCTTGCCGCGAGCGGCCGTGGACATCCGATATTTTCACTAGCCACATTGTCGAAGCCAGCTAGTTCGACGATGGGCTGGAAAGCCTCGGCTGGCTCGTCGAGGTTGGGATAGCCCATGTGGTCCAATAGCAGGGGCATCTGCGGATGGCGGCGGGCGATTTCAGCTACTTGATCGGCGCAAGCGGCGTTGAGATGGAACTGGATGACAGCACCCATTGCGTCGAGGGTTTCCCACAAGGGACGGTTCTGGGGCGTGGTCAGGACTTTTTCGTCCGGGTAGTACATGGGGTGGAAGCGGAAACCGACCAGACCGCGTTCTTCCATCCAGTAGCGCGCCTGTGCGGCGTTGTCCGGGTTTTGCGGGTCGAGCATGCCGTGGCCGATAAAGCGGTCGGGGAAACGGGCCTGCGAATCGGCGATATAGCCGTTGTCCCAAGTGGACCAGCTAGTCTGCACCAAGACGCTGCGGTCAACGCCGTTTTGGTCCATGTCCTCGATTAACTCGTCGGCGGTGGCGGGTTCGTCCGGCTCGGAGGTCCAGTTGGGGGCCGTGGGTCCGATGGGGATATTTCTCGGACATTTCCCAGATGTGTACGTGGGTGTCGACGATCATGGACGGTTCCTTTTAGATGTTGATAGCACAATCCGATGCGGATCTCAGCAGCACGTCTGCCTAGCGCCCAACCATAGCGACGAAATAGCGATGGATGCTCAAATCGCTGGTCAGTTCGGGATGAGAATGAGGCGACGAGCATTTGGCCTTGGCGCGCCACGACCACATCGTCGCCGCAGGTCGCCAGCGCCGCGACCCCGTCGCCCAACCGCGCGATGCGGGGCGCGCGGATAAAGATCATCGGCAATGATCGCGGTTGCTCATCCGCCGCCCAAACGCCCGTCCCCTCGAAGCTATTGACTTGGCGGCCATAGCTGTTGCGCTCGACGTCGATGTCGATCAGGCCGAGGGACTTCTGCGGCGGGTTGGAGACGCCTTTGGCCAACAGGATCATCCCGGCGCAGGTGCCAAAAATGGGATTGCCGGCCGCGGCAAAGTCTCGCAGCGGTGCCCAGAAAGCCCAAGAGTCCATCAGCTTAATTAGCGTCGTGCTCTCGCCGCCGGGGAAAGATCAGGCCGTCAACTGTGGACAATTGCTCCGGTTTTTTGACCACGCGGGATTCGACTGCCAAGGCGTCGAGTATTTTGCCGTGGGCCGCGTAGTCGCCTTGTAATCCCAAAATTCCAATCATTGTTTATACCATAGAAGCTATCTGACAATTCCCGGCGGGTGTGCGGCGACAAAGTATCCGCAGATGAACGCAGATGAGCACAGAGGCAGGGGATGACGCTTCATAAAATTGCCCCGTCCCTGACAGAGCAGAGACGGGGCGTTTTCCGTTTGTCTCTGTGCGGAGCCTTACCAGCCGCGAGTTTGTAGTTTGTCCTTCTCTTCGAGGGTGTCGATGTTGATGCCGACCATGGCCTCGCCGAGGTTTTCAGAGACGCGGATCAGAACCTCTGGATCGTCGTAGTGGGTGGTGGCCTCGACGATGGCTTTGGCGCGGTTGGCCGGATCACCGGACTTAAAGATCCCAGAGCCGACGAAAACGGCCTCGGCGCCGAGCTGCATCATCAGCGAGGCATCAGCCGGTGTGGCGACGCCGCCCGCGGCAAAATTGGGCACCGGCAGCTTGCCGTGCTCGGCGACCCAGCAGACCAGTTCATAAGGTGCGCCTAGGTCTTTGGCCGCGGTCATTAGCTGTTCGGGACGCAGGATCGTCAGCCGGCGGATCTCGTCGGTGACTGAGCGCATGTGGCGCACGGCCTCGACGATGTTGCCCGAGCCAGCCTCGCCCTTGGTGCGGATCAGGGCCGCGCCCTCGCCAATCCGCCGCAGGGCCTCGCCGAGGTTGCGGCAGCCGCAGACGAAGGGCACTTCAAAGGCAAACTTATCGACGTGGTAGTGCTCGTCGGCTGGGGTCAGGACCTCGCTTTCGTCGACGTAGTCGATCCCGAGGGCTTGGAGCATCTGCGCTTCGGCGAAGTGGCCAATGCGACATTTGGCCATGACCGGAATGGAGGTGGACTCCATGATCTGGCGCAGCTTTTCGATGCTCGACATGCGCGACACCCCGCCTTCAGCGCGGATGTCGGCGGGCACTCTTTCCAGCGCCATGACCGAGGTTGCCCCAGCGTCTTCGGCGATCTTGGCTTGGTCGGCGGTGACGACGTCCATGATGACCCCACCCTTGAGCATTTCGGCGAGGCCGGTCTTGAGGCGCAGGGTGCCAGTCTGGCCGTTTTGTATCTCGCTCATAGCGCAATCTCCTTTAGAGAAGTTCCTTAAAAACATATTCCAAAATAGGCCCCCGCGCAATTTTTGCCCGGGGTAGAATTAGGTGCCGCGCAGGCTCTGCCAATAGATGCGGCAAAGGTCGCGGGCGAAGAGGTAGAGGGCCGCTGAGGTCGCGCCGACGCCGAGGATCGCACCGACAACGAGGACGGCGAACGGTGACCAGGGCAGCAGGGGGCGGGCCAGCAGGAGAACGGTGAAGACGAAGGCGACCACCAAACCGGGACGGCTGAGCGCGGCGAGATAGGTTGCAAATGGCAGGTCAATCAAGCGGTTGACGAGATACTGCGAAAGCAGCAAGAACAGCAAGGCCGCCGCGGCGATGACGCTGGCCACACCTTCGACGCCGCGCGGCAGGCCATAGAAGTACAGTGCCGGGATCAGCACCCCCATGCTAAAGAGCGACCAATAGAAAGCCCAGTTGGTCTTGCCTTTGGCCATAAAAATCGAGCCGACCAAGGAGCCGGCTACTTTCAAAAGCGTGGCTGCGGCCAACAGGCGCAGCACCATCCACATCGGCTCGGTGTTGACCAAGGCGGCAATCTCCGGCGCAAAGACGAATATTCCCGTAAGGGCCGGACCCAGCGCTAGCACGAAGCCCTGTACCGAGGACAAATAGCCACGACGCAGGAGCGAGTCGTCGTCGACGATCGTCGAAAAGGTCGGAAAGGAGACGCGCTGGATGGTCGTCGCCAGCCGGGTCAAAGGCTGCAAGGTCAATCGTTCGGCCAAAGCTGTAATAGGCTTGGGCAGTAGGCCCTAGCGGTAAGTAGATAAAGAGGTAAGCGATCTTGCCATTGAGCAGGGCCACCACGCGCGAACCTGTAAGATTCAGGGCGAAGCCAAGGATTTGGCGCAGGGCTTGGGGCCGGAAGCGCAGACGCGGAAGCCAACGGGCCGAAAGCGCGAGACTGCTAAAAAGACCTAGTTCGCGCACGACCGAGCCGACGACCGGGACTAAGACGCCCAAGTCTGGTCGCCAGAAAAGCAGCAGCGTCACCGCGAAGGCAAAGGTCAGCACCGAAACGAGTTCGGAAAGGGCCACGGCGCGGAAGTCGAGGGCGCGCTGTAGTCTGGCTCGCAACAGGCCCGCCAATGAGGCGAAGGGGATCGCTAGGCAGAACGTGCGCAGGACGCGGCCGAAGGTGTGTGGGTCGTCGCCCCCCAGAAAAGGAGCCAGCCAAGAAGAGCGCGCGACGACCACGGCGGTGATTAGCAGTCCCCCAACTCAAACAAGTCCAGAAGGCCGTGTCGAAGTGTTCCTCGCCCGCGTCTGGCAACTGGACTAGGGCTGCGCCCAGACCTAAGTCGCCGACCAGCGATAGGAGCATTATCAGCGCCAGTACCCACTCAAAACGGCCCAAGTCCTCGAGCGGCAAGAGCTTGTAGAGCACCAGCATGACGCCGAGCTGGATAAGGGAAGCGCTGCCATTCCAGAGAAAGCCACGCAGGGCGCGCGTGGCCAGGGAGAGCGAGGCGCTCACGGACCGGCTGGCTTCACGACGCTTCGACGTGCGCTTTGGCGATGCGGCCCTTCTTGCCGAAGACATTGACCGCCCGCGCTTCGAGCAGGTTTTCGCCCGCGGCGAGCGTCCACTCAAAGCGGGCCTCGCGCTCTTCGCGCCACGGGCCGCCGTCTTGGCGCACCAAGAAGTGCGAGAAGTTGGGCGCGGTGTGCTCTAGATCGACTGCAGAGTGCGCGCCTTTTCCGCCACCTGGAGGTAGAGACGCGTCTGGTTGACCGACCAGTAGAAGTCCCCAGGACGAGAGGTCTGCAAGAGTATTCGGCGTAGCGGGGATCGACGTCGTCCGACCACCATAGATAGCCGTCCCAGTGGTACTGCCCGGAGCCGTGGCGCAGCTCGGCCGGCTCGGCGAAGATCAGGTGCGTATTGCGCAGCGGAATGCCGAAGCGGCAGAAGACATCGATATAGCTGGCCATCTGTTCGATGGTCTTTTGCGGCAGCTTGTTGGCCATGATCTTTTCGCGCCGCTCGTCCGCCGCGGCCTCGTGCAGCTCCAAGGCGTTGAGGGGTACACCGTCGATTTCGTAGGTGGCGTCAAATTCGCGGCTCGGCCCGGCGTCTTCGAGGATCCACTTTTGCAACTCTTCGCACCAGACCTCGGCCAAGCAATGGTGATCAACGACGATTGAGCGGGCCACCCACCCTAGGGATGAGGCGCAGCCGGCGAAAACCGCCCCGTAGTGGGTACACATGCCGAAGCCCCAGTCGCCCTTGGTGGTGTCGAGGACTTCGAGCGAATTCCAGGAGGGGCAATGGGGATATTTGTCGGATTGCCAGCCTAGCCACTGGCTGTGGACCCAGTCACGCAACAGGGCTAGTTGTTCGAGTTCGGTTTTGCCCGCGGCGATGACCTCGTCGAGGCGGTACTGCTTGCGCAGTCGCTCTTGGTGCGGATGCAGCCCCATATAGGCGAAGGGGTACGAGCTGTACACGAGTTGGGGTTGGTCGAATTCTGCTCGCTTGAAGGGCGCGAGGCTTTGGGCGTCTTCCTCGATATCGGCTTCGAGCGTGACGGCCTGGAGCGTCGGGGTCTTGTTGGCCGAGTCGGTTTCAAAGATGGCGCGCCACTGCACAAAGCGCCCGGACCACTGCAAGGCGGTGGATCGTTCCCAAGCTGTCCAAGTGCGCGGATCAAAGGAAGGCGTCGAACCCGTGCGCAGCTCGAAGTGTATCTGGGTCCCCTGCGGCTGGCGCATCCGCGCTTTCAGGTGCAGGCGGCGAATCCCCAGCCTCGGGGCAATGCGGCCGTTGCCCTCTTCGTCGGCGAGGTCGATGACCGGCGAGCAGAGCGTCCCTTGGGGCGGATGTCCCTTGATGCGCAGCCGCACTAGATATTCGCCTTCGATGGCGCGGGCTTCGCCCAAGGTGCCTTGGTGCCAAGTCTTGCCGCCGTCAAAGCTGCGGCTCGAACGGCCTGAGGGCTCGTCGGCTAGACCACCCGGAAAGGGGTCGATGTGCAACACGCCGCTGTGCGAAAAGACGAATTCGTTGGTGCCGTCTTTGAGGTATTTGGCGGCGATTTTCTTGCGGTCCCAACCGCCGGTGAGCATGCGCTGGCGGTCTTGGCGGTGGGTGAGGACGTGGCCGTTGACCTGGAGCCGCATGGGTTTGTCGGCGGTGGATTTGTCGGCGTTGACGTAAAAGAGCAGTTCGGCCCCTTTGAGATTAGCCGAGGGGATGTCGAACTCGACTTTTGCACAAGAAGCAGGGGTGAGTTCTTCGCAGATATCGCCGTCAACGCCCATTTCGTTGGTGAGCATATAGGTGGGGGCGAGGCGGGCGGCAGGGGTGGTTTGGGCGTCGATGAAGCGGTCGCGGCGATAGTCGCGGAAGTCGGTGGTGGTTATGCGTTTCATGGTAGGCTCCTGAGTGGGGGGCTATGCGGGGAATGTATGAGGTGATATAGGCTGGGGCAAATTTGGGGCGCTGAAGTGAGCGATGATCGAAAACGTGCTTGACCTCTGGGAGGATTCATAAGTATTTTTCTCATCGAATACAAACGTATGCAGAATGGGTCAGGCCATCCCGACATGGCCACAAACCGAAATTTTACAGGAGGCGGAACCCGTGAAAACTCTTGTTTTTCATTCCGCCTTTTTCGTATCGCTCGGTCTCTTGCTTTGGCCAATGTCTGTCGTCCATTCGTCGCCCTCGACCTCCGATAGCGTGCATTTTTGCCAGCTAATCGATTTCGAGCAGTGGCAGCGCAATCACCTCGGCCCTGCGGGCAAGCTCACGCTGCTGCGGTAGGCAGTATCATTTTCCCGATGTCAATATCAAAGAATCGAAAGGGTATCCCTCCGTGACACCCGGCGACGAGGGATATCCTTTACAAGCGAATGAATCCGCATTCAACCCAATGAGGAGTCTCAGATGAAACAGCTTTCGTTGCTCAGCATCGCTTTGTTGTTGGTTGGAGTCCTGTCGGTGCAGGCCAGCCGCGCCGAGGACTACACCTGCGGGAATGTGCCCGACGGAGCCCTCACCCAGATAGGCAGAGGACGCATTGGTGGAGACGACCGAGCGGTGGTCTATTCACCCGATGGCACGCGGCTGGGCGATGGCGATGGCGATGTCCAATAGCGTGAGCATTCGGCTGTGCGATGCCCACACCGGCACCGAAGTCGCCCTGCTCACGGGTCATACGGGCCTGTCGTTTCGGTGTTTTTTTTGCCGGACGGGACGACCTTGGCCAGTGTCGGTGAGGATGACACGATTTGGCTATGGGATGTAGCCGACGGCCGGGAGTTTGCCGTTCTCCAAGGCCCTACGAAGTCTATCGTTTCGGTATTTTCTCTCGCCGGACGGGACGACCTTGGCCAGTGTCAGTGAGGATGGTACGATCCGGTTGTGGGATACGGCCAACGGCCGTTGGTTTGCCGTTCTCCAAGGCCCTACGGAGCCTGTCGTTTCGGTGTTTTTTTTGCCGGACGGGACCATCTTGGCCAGTGTCAGTGAGGATGGTACGATCCGGTTGTGGGATGTAGACGATGGCCGGGAGTTGCCGTTCTCCAAGGCCCTACGGAGTCTATCGTTTCGGTATTTCTCTCTCGCCGATGGTACACCTGGCCAGTGTCAAGGATGGCACGATTTGGTTGTGGGATGTGGACGACGGCCTTTGTTGGCCACCCTCCGAGGCTCTACGGAGGCTGTCGTTTCGGTATTTTTCTCGCCGGATGGTACGACCTTGGCTAGTGTCGGTGAGGATGGCACGATCCGGTTGTGGGATGTGGACGACGGCCTTTTGTTGGCCACCCTCCGAGGCTCTGCGGAGGCTGTCGTTTCTCGGTATTTTTTCTAGCGGATGTAGCGACCTTGGCCATTTCGGTGAGGATGACCGATTTGGCTATGGGATGTAGCCGACGGCGGATTTGGCCGTCCTCCAAGGCCCCACGGAGGCTATCGTTTCGGTATTTTTCTCGCCGGATGGTACGACCTTGGCTAGTGTCGGTGAGGATGGCACGATCCGGTTGTTGGGATTTGGAAGACGGCTTTTGTTGGGAGGCTGGGGTGGCTTTTTGTTTTGGTTTTTTTTTTTGTCGTTTGTTTTTTTTGGTTATTTTAGTTTTTGTTGTTGGTGTGTTGTTGGTGTTTTTTTGGGGTTGGTAACTATCCGTGCTCTGCGGAGGCTGTCGTTTCGGTATTTTTCGTAGCGGATGGTACGATCTTGGGGCTAGTTGTCGGTGAGGATGGTATCGGTTTGGTTGTGGGATGTGGACGACGGTCGTTGGTTGGTCACCCTCCGAGGCCCTGCGGAGGCTGTCGTTTCGGGTATTTTCTCTGCCGGATTGTACATCTTGGCCAGTGTAGGTGAGGATGGGTACGATTTTGGTTTTGTGATGGGACAGGGTCGTGGTTGGTCGTTGTCGAGGCCTGCGGAGGCTGTCGTTTTCTGTGTCTTTCTCGTCGGATGGGACATCTTGGCCAGTTTTCCAGTAAGGGATGTACGGTTCGGTTGTGGATGTGGACGAACGGTCGTTGTTTTGTTCACCCCCCGAGGCCCTGCGTAGGCCTGTCAGTTCGGTTATTTTTCTCGCGGCTGGGATACCCATCTTGGCCAGTGTCATAGGGAGTACGGTTCTGTTGTGGTGATGTGGACGACGGTCGTTTGTTTAGTCACCCTCACGAGCCCCTGCGAGGCCTGTCTTTTCGGGTATTTTGGTCGGGCGTCGCGGATGGGACCATCTTGGCCAGTGTCAGTAAGGGAGGTACGGTTCGGGTGTGGGATGTGGACGACGGTCGTTGGTTGGTCACCCTCCTATGCCCTGCGGAGCCTGTCTTTTTCGGTTCTTTCTCGCGGATGGTACCCGATCTGGCCCGTTGCGGTGAGTTGGCACGATTGGTTGTGGGAAATGTGGACGAGACGGTCTTGGTTGGCACCTCCGAGGCCCTGCGGAGCCGGTCCGTTTCGGTTTTTTTCTCGACGGACGTTGACGACCTTGGCAGTGTCAGTGAGGATGGTACGGTTCGGTGTGGATACGTAGCCAACGCGCGCAGTCGCCGTCTCCGAGGCCTACGGCGCCTGTCGTTTCGGTATTTTTCTCGCCGGATGGGACCATCTTGGCCAGTGTCAGTAAGAGAGGTACGATTTGGTTGTGGGATGTGGACGATGGCCGGGAGTTGGCCGTTCTCCATGCTTTCGCCGGAGAGGTCGAAGATCAAGCATACACCGCTGGTGCGGCGATAAGCGCGCTGGTATTGCCGGAAGCTACAGGCGGTGAAGGTGCGATAACGTACCGCGTGTCGGAGCTTCCTGCGGGCCTGTCGTTTGACGATTCCACGCGGACGATTTTGGGCACGGGCACGCCCGAAGCCGCCACCGATGGGACTGTCGAGGTCACCTATACAGCGGAGGACAGCACAGGAGCTGCTGTCACGTTGATCTTCTCCATCACGGTCAACCCGCCGCTGAGCTTCGGCGACTTGTCCGACCTGTTCAATTAAATGGCGGTGCTGGTGCGGAAGACGAATGGCCGGTCGTTGAATTGGTCCCCAAACATTAGAAGCCGTTTTAACCTCTCCTTAGATATCGGAGGTAGAAACGCTCAGACTTGACAGCTTCTACGGGGTGCCGCGCCCAAACTCAGGCGAGGAGGGCCTCGACGTATTGGCGCGCGGCAATGGCCGCTGGGAGTGGCTCGTCCCAATCGACCTCCTCAAGCTCGACGACGAGGGGGCCGTCGTAACCGCTATCCACTAACAGCTCGAACAACTCCGCAAAGGGCAATTCCCTTCCCCAAAGGGCACGGGCTTTTCGCCCTGCTGGTCGCGCAGGTGGACGAGACCAATGCGCCCGGCGAGGGCTTCGGCAAAGGGCATGATTGGCTCGCCGACCGAGAGCAGGGGGCCGGTGTCCAAGAGCACGCGCGCCCGTTCGGGGCAGCTCGGGCATCACCGCTTGGTAGTCGGCCAGTCCTTGGAGGCGGTTGCCTTGGTGATTGCCCAAGTTGAGGGCGATATCGGGGATGTTGTCGAGGAGCGTGTTGACGCCTTCGATGAGGTCGGCGAGCGCCTCGTCCGTGCGGGCACCGCCCTTCGTGTTCAGGGTTTTGATGCCAAGGGCGCGGCCCAAGTGGATATCCCATTCGAGCTGGCGCAGGTTGTAGGCGAGGTTGCGCTCGTCGGAGTCGGCCTTGCGGCCAGTGAGGTTGCGGATGTTGAAGCCTGAAAGCGCTAGGCCGGCGTCCGCAATGGCGGTGCGGACCATGGGCACGGACCAGTCACGGTGGACGGGAGTGCTCTCGGTGTAAGCGCGGAAGAGTTCGAGGCGAGAGAAGCCTGCCGCCTTGGCAAGGTCGAGCACCTCGGGCAAGAGAAGGTCTGGGCAGAGGGTCGGGCTGAAGACGAGGGGCATCAGCCAATCCCCTCCCAATGCGCCCATTGGTTGTCGCAGGTTTCAAAGCGGATATCGTTGGTGTCTTTGCGCGAGAAGCGGCCGATGAGGGCCATGCGGATGTTGCGATTGACGTTCTTGGAACCCGTGTGGAAGAGCTGGCCGTGCCAGAAGATGGCATCGCCAGCTTTGCCGACGAATTCGCTTCCTTTGGGGAAAGTTCCCTCGGGAAATACGTCGCTGGAAACGCCGCCCTGTACCGACAGCAGCGAATGCGTCTGGAAGTACTCGTAGGCCACGTTGTGGCTGCCGGGCCAATAGGTGAAGCAGCCGCCCTGCGAGTCGATGTCTTCGACGTAGAGCGTGACGTTGATGGTCATGTAGCCGACCGTGCCTTCGGGTACCCGTTGGTCGGGGTGTAGTAGCCGTCGAGATGGCCGCGCTCGGGCAAGGACCAAGCCTTGTCTTTGGCCGGGTACACCAGCGCCGGCCCGGCGTTGCCGGGGTTGAGCTGGCCCTCGCCGACCATCTCCTCCATCATCGCAAAGAGCGGCGACTCGTGGACGGCGGCGCGGATGGCCGGGTGATGAGCGGGTACCGGGGAGCGCGGGCCCGGCCTCGACCCAAGTTGCAGGATCGTCGCGGTCGGCGTCAATGCCGCTCCAGAGGGCGTCCTGAGCGGCTTGAATTTGCGCGGACGTGAGTGCGCCGTGAACGATGAGACAGCCGTTTTCCTTAAAGGAACGCTTGTCTGCGGAGTGAGATGAGGCATGGCAGTACCTTTCCAATGCGATTGAAAAGGCAAATATAGATCAGCTAAAAGGGGGTGTCCATTTGCCGACGTAGGGGCGACCGGCCGGTCGCCCCTTCAGACGACGATCGCTTGGTCTAAGGCGCGGATGTAGCCAATAGTCCAGCCAGCCCCGCGGCGTGGTCGCCGGCGATGGCCGGGAAGTGCTCGGAGTAAATCTGCCCCTTGTAGTCGATCTCTTTGAGGGCGCGGATGGTGCCGACCATATCGACTTCCCCTTGGCCGAAGGGCACTTCGAGGTAGCCTAAGTCCGCCAGCCGCTGCTCGATTTCCGGGAAGTCGATCCCTGGGGCTTGGTGGCGATGTCGCGCACGTGGACCATAAAGACCTTGTCGCCGAAGTGGCGGATGGTGTCGGGCAGGCTGTCGCCGGCCATTTGCGACTTGCCTTGGCAGAAGGTCAGGCCGTGGGCCGGCGAGTCGGTTGCGGCCATTAGATTGGCAAAGGTCTCTCTGTTCCAGATCAGGCGGTCGGGCACGTGAAACGTGTGGGTGGAGATCCGCACGCCGGCCTCTTCGCCGATTTGGCCGAGTTCTTGGAAGACCTCCACCAAGCCCTGCCAATGCGTCTGCCGCTGGTCTGGGTCGGTGGGGGCCGCGTCGGCACTGAGGTAGAAATGCACGATAGGTATCTGCGCGTGGCCCATGTTTTCGATCAGGCGGCGCATGTACCCCACTTCGCGCGTGCGGGCCGCATCGTCAACGCAGGCGTCGAGGCTGAGACGAGGCGGAGTCAGCCCGGCCAGCACAACTTCGGCGGCGGCGTATTGGTCGGTTAGCGCCGCGAGCGCGTCGGCCGCGGGCGCGTCGTCTGAAGAGATTTGGCCGGTGTTCAAGACGATGTGGGTAGCGCCGGCGTCGCGGCAATAGGCGATGTTGCGAGCGTGGTCGGCCCCAAAGGGGGCGAAGATGCCGATGTCGAACATGAGTTCCTCCTCAGCGTACAAAAAAATGGTGCTCCCACGGAGAGTCGAACTCCGGCTACAGGGTTGAAAACCCTGGGTCCTAACCGCTAGACGATGGGAGCACGTAGGGCAAAAAATATAGAGTTAGCCCTGCATATTGGCAAGCCATCCGGTCGCACTTTGCTAGGCGAAATCGTCGAGCGCGGGCGTGAGGAGATTGTAGTCGGTAGCTTGCTCAAAGGCGCGGGCGAGGCGCAGCAGCCGCGCCTCGTCGCGGGGGTGGCCGATGAGCTGCAAGCCGATGGGCAAGCCATCATGCGTAAACCCGCAGGGCAGGGAGACGGCGCACAGATCGAGGAGATTGACGGCGATGGTGTTGCGCAGGCAGAGGCCATTGATGGGGAAATAGACATCGTCGCGATCGATCTCGTCGAGAATCGGGGCGGCAAAAGGGGTGGTTGGGAGTGATGAGAAAATCGACGTTTTCGAGGGCCATGCGGGCTTTGCGGCGCAGCTCGTCGCGCGCTCTAAGCTGCCGGAGGAAGTCCGCGGCGAGGGTATCGCGGCCGTCGAGGATGCGCGCCGAGACAATGGGGTCGAACTGATCGAGGTGCGCTTCGAGGTTGTGCCGATGATAGAGATAGGCTTCGACGGCCGTGGTGCTAGGCCCGCTGCGCCATTCGGCTAGATCGTCGAGCACATCGAGCGATATTTCATCGACATAGACGCCGAGGTCGGCGAAAACGCGCGCCGAGGCGCGCACCGCGGCTTCGACCTCCGCATCGACCTCGTCCCAGAAAAACTCGCGCGGGAAGCAGAGCCGGAGGCCGGCGACCTCGCCTTCCAAATGATCCACAATCGAACCATCGGGCAGGTCGCAAAGGGCCGGCTCCGCCATGGCTTGGAACAACAGGGCGCAGTCTTGCGCCGTGCGGCACAAAGGCCCAATGCTGTCGAGGGTCGGGGTCGAGGGGCAAGACGCCGGTGTTGGGGAGCAGGCCAAAGGTGGGTTTGAGGCCGGTAAGGCCGCAAAAGGACGAGGGAATCCGCACTGAGCCGCCGGTATCCGAGCCGAGGGCGGCCGCTGCCAGTCCAGCCGCCACAGCCACGCCCGAGCCAGAGGACGACCCGCCCGGCAGGCGGTGGATTTCGGGATCCCAGGGGTTGACCGGGGTGCCGTAGTGATGGTTGACACCGGTGCCGCCAAAAGCGAATTCCACAAGCTGGGTTTTGCCCAAGAGTACGACGCCCGCGGCAAAGAGGCGGCGGGCAACCGTGGCGTCGGCTGCGGCGATGTTGTCGCGCAGCAGGGTCGAGCCGCCGGTGGTGGGCAGGTCCGCGACATCCACGAGATCCTTAAAGGCGAGGGGAATGCCGTGCAAGGGGCCGAGATAGGTGCCGGCCGCGATTTGCGCTTCGGCAGCGCGGGCTTGGGCGCGCGCCCGCTCGGCCGTGACGGCGAGATAGGCGTTGAGCGCCGGATCGTAGTGCTCGATGCGCTCTAGGTAGAGATCGGTGAGTTCGAGCGGGGAGAGTTCGCCGCGGCGGATCAGGGTGGCGAGTTCGGCGATGGGGGCAAACGCTAGGGCATCATCCATGAGGCGACCTATGCTAAGGGTTAATCCAACAGGGAAAATCCGGCGTAGCCAAGGCGGTCTTCCGCGCCTTCGACGCCGCCTTGGGGAAAGTACTCCCCGCCCAGCGCCGACTGACCTTTTGCGCCGTTTCTTCGTCCGTTATTAGCTCGTCTGGGTAGCCGGGTTTCATGCGGCAATCCAAGACGATCGGCGGCGTGTAGCAGGGGTGGTGGCGACGGAGCTGGACCGCGGCGGCATACGTGTCGGCAGCCGGTTCAAAGCGGGTAAAGGTACTCCAGAGAAAGGTGACGTTCTTGGCAGCCGCACTGGCGTCATCAACCAAAAATATCAGCGGCCAAGCTGCGACGGCCCGGTCTTCGGCGAGGTGTTGGGCGTAGCCGGGATCTTCTGCGTACGCCGGGCCTTGGACCGTGAGAGCACCAGGGCAATAGACCGCGGCGGCGCAGGCCCCGCCGGGCAAATCGCCGCTGAATTCCCCGGGTAATTCGCCGACCGGATCGCCCACGCCTAGGAGGATCCCTTTGCTGCCTTGGTTCACGGCCGGTCCCGTGTAGTCGAGGGTGTCCATGGCGAGATTGGCGATGACGAAGAGGTCGGTTTCGAGCCGCGCACGCGCTAGGGCATACGCGAGCACCTGCCGGAAGTCGCCCAAGTCCAAGGGGCGATCTATTACGACCAAAAACTTGGTGAGGTTGAGTTGGCCGCCGTCCTCGCCCAAGATGCGAAAGGCGAATTTCATGGCCTCGCGTGGGTAGCGCTCTTCGACGACGATGGCCGCCAGCGAGTGATAGCCGGTCTCGCCGTAGCTCCACATGGCCTTGATCGCGGGCATTACCAGCTTGCTCAAGGGCGTCATGAGCTGCTGGATGTAGGTGCCGAGGAACATGTCTTCCTGCGGCGGCTTGCCGACGACGGTGGCCGGGAAGATGGCGTCTTTGCGGTGATAGAGGCGCTTGGCTTGGAGTACCGGGTAGTCGTGTTGCAGCGAGTAATAGCCGTAGTGATCGCCGAAAGGCCCCTCGGGCTTGCGCACGTGCGGCGGCACCACGCCTTCAATGGCGAATTCGGCTTCGGCGATCAGGGGCAGCGTGGGGGTTGGTACGCGGCGCAGGCGCTCGCCCTGCAACAGAGAGGCCAAAATCAGCTCGGGCAAATCCTCGGGCAAAGGCGCGATGGCCGCTAGGATCAGCGCTGGCGGCCCGCCGACGAAGATGACCAGCGGCAGGTCTTCGCCTCGCTGCTCGGCGACGTGGTAGTGGAAGCCGCCGCCTTTCTGGATTTGCCAGTGTACGCCGAGGGTCTGGGAATCGTGGCGCTGGATGCGATACATGCCGAGGTTGTGATGGCCGGTATCGGGGTGTTGGGTATAGACCAGCGGCAGGGTGATGAAGTGCCCGCCGTCCTCGGGCCAGGTTTTGAGCAAGGGTAGGCGCGTAAGGTCGGGGGGCGACTGCACGCATTCGCCAATGGGACCTTTGCCGACGGTCTTCAGCCCGACCTTGAGCGCGGCGGGGATCAGGTTTTTGTGCGGCCAGAGCTTGCCCGGCGAGAGCGAGGGCAGGTCTTGGGCGAGTTGCACTAGCTGCTGGATAAACTGCTCCGGCCTAGGGCCAAAGGCCAAATCGACGCGCCGGGCGGTGCCAAAGAGGTTGGTGACGCAGGGAAAGTCCGCGCCTTCGACGTGGGTAAAGAGCAGGGCCGGGCCAGCGGCGGCAAGGACGCGGCGGTGGATCTCGGCGATTTCGAGATCAGAAGAAACCGGGGCGTCAACGGTGACAAGCTCGCCTTCGCGGCGCAGAAGAGCGAGAAATTGGCGCAGGTTGTGCATGGCGGCCTAGGGCGGGAGGTGGTGCGATTGACTATCCCTAATATATAGGAAGACTGGCCCATTACAATGGATCGGCCCGGCGTACAGAGGGATTCGTGGGGCCGGTTGAAGGCCGGGCTGGTGGTCCCTACATTGGTATGGCGAATTCATCAACGAAACTGGTTTCGATCTCATGCCCGACGAGGCGTTGCGCCAAAGCCCGTACCTATCGTTACAGCGGGGTGGGACGGGGTTTATGTAGTGTTGAATCAAACGCCGAAGGTTAGGGATTGTATTGATTGAGAGATCAAAAATTGAATACACAGATTCCAAGCGTATATGCGGATACGTCCGTTTTCGGTGGCGCATTCGATGAAGAGTTTCATCAAGCGAGTCAGTCCTTTTTCGATATGGTTCGGCAGGGACATTTTAACCTGTTGACATCTGTTGTGGTGCAAGAGGAAATCGAGTCTGCCCCGGCGGAAGTTGTGGCACTCTTTGAACAGATGCTCAACTTTGCAGAAATTGTAGAGATTTCTGAGGAGACTTTGCGACTTCAGCAGGCTTACTTAAATGCGAAAATTGTGACCGAAAAATGGGCGGCAGATGCCCTCCATGTCGCCTTAGCCACTGTAGGAGGCTGTTCGATGATTGTGAGTTGGAATTTCAAACACATCGTGCATTTTTCAAAAATTCCGCTATACAATGCAGTAAACACACTTTCTGGATACTCAACTATTGCGATCCATTCCCCTCAGGAGACGATCAACTATGAAAACGAAGAAGACGTTTGATTGCGTTGAGATGAAACGCCGTGGCGCAGAACGAGTCCATAATCAAATCGCAAATATGACAATCGAAGAACAACTGGCTTTCTGGCAAGAACGTACCGAATTGCTGCGAAAGCATCAGCAAACGGTAAAAATGAGACGCACAACATCTGTGAATTAAATCCGATGCGATGCTCTGGCAATTTTATCATCAGTAGCGGAAATTGAAAACATCAACGGAATTCTGGACGATGCTTCTTAGCTTATTTATTTAGACAAGTTCAGAAGCGATTTAACGGAAGCGACTCCCATCCCCATTTGCGAGAGGTTTTCCATGACGGAGAGAAACGACGAATTCGGGGCGCGCACCCGGCTGGAATGCAGCGGTGGTAGCGGCGTCCTGTACCGCATTCAAAAGCTAGCAGAAGATGGCATAGCTGAGGTGAGCCGGCTGCCCTATTCGATCAAAATTCTGCTAGAGGCCGCGCTCAGGCAGTGCGATGGGTTTGAGATTACCCGCGAGGACGTCGAGCGCATTGCGCGCTGGAGTCCCCGAGACCGCGGGCAAGGAAGAGATTCCCTTCAAGCCGGCGCGGGTGGTGATGCAGGATTTTACCGGGGTGCCAGCCGTGGTTGATTTGGCCGTGATGCGCGACGCGGTAGCCGATTTGGGCGGCGACCCGGAGAAGGTCAATCCCCTGATTCCGGTTGACTTGGTCATTGACCATTCGGTGCAGGTCGATTACTACGGCATACGCGAGGCGCTGGCCATGAACGCCGCGCGCGAATTCGAGCGCAACCGCGAGCGCTACGAGTTTTTGCGCTGGGGTCAGGAGTCGTTCGACAATTTTCGCGTGGTGCCGCCGGCCACCGGCATTGTGCATCAGGTCAACTTGGAATATCTGGCCCAGGTGGTGCAGGAGCAGGACGGAGCGTTCTATCCCGACAGCCTGGTGGGCACAGACAGCCACACGACGATGATCAACGGTCTCGGCGTTCTCGGCTGGGGCGTGGGCGGCATCGAGGCCGAAGCCGTGATGTTGGGGCAGCCGATCTACATGCTTTTGCCGCAGGTGGTCGGCGTCAAACTGACGGGCGAGTTGCCCACCGGGACGACGGCTACGGACTTGGTGCTGACGGTGGTGCAGATGCTCCGCGCGCATGGCGTGGTTGGCAAATTCGTCGAGTTTTACGGCCCGGGCCTGAGCGAGTTGAGCTTGGCCGACCGGGCGACCCTCGCCAACATGGCCCCGGAATACGGGGCGACGATGGGCATTTTTCCGGTTGACGAGGAGACGCTGGCGTATTTGGCGCTCACCGGGCGCAAGAAGGCGGTGGTCGAGCGGGTCCGCGCCTACATGGAAGCGCAGGGCATGTTCTACCACGCCGAGGTGCCTGATCCCCGTCTTCAGCGAGCACTTGGCGCTGGATATGGGTACGGTCGAGCCGAGCTTGGCCGGCCCGACGCGGCCCGCAGGATCGGGTCGCGCTCAAGGACATGCCGACCGCCTTTGCCGCCTCGCTGGTGGACCGCTTTGAGGTGGAGGATAGCGGTAAAAAGGTCGCCGTCGAATTGGGCGAGCAGGGTGCGGTTGAGCTGAACCACGGCGCAGTGCTCATCGCCGCCATTACCTCCTGCACGAATACCAGCAACCCGAGCGCAATGGTGGGGGCGGGGCTGTTGGCGCGCAACGCGGCCGAGCGGGGCCTCGCGGTTCCGGCCTACGTCAAGACCAGCTTGGCACCGGGCAGCCGGGTCGTCTCCCGCTACCTCGACGCGGCCGGCCTCACCGAGAGCCTAGAAGCCCTCGGCTTCCACACGGTCGGCTATGGTTGCACGACCTGCATTGGCAACTCGGTTCCCCTGCCCGAAGAAATCGCCGCAGCCGTGGCCGACAACGATTTGGTGGTGTGTAGCGTGCTCAGCGGCAACCGCAATTTCGAGGGCCGGGTACACGCGGTGACGAAGGCCAATTTCCTCGCTTCGCCGCCGTTAGTCGTGGCCTACGCACTCGCGGGCCGGGCGACGATCGACTTCGAGCGCGAGCCACTGGGCCAAGACCAAGAGGGCCGCGAGGTGTTCCTGCGCGACATCTGGCCTTCGCAAGACCAGATCCGCGACGCGGTTGCCCGCTCGCTGACGCCGAAGATGTTCGAGGAAGAATACGGCAATGCGTTCAGTCAGAACGAGACTTGGAACGCCATTCCCGTGCCCAAGGGTACGCGCTATGCCTGGGCCGAGGAGAGCACGTACATTCGCAAGCCGAATTTCTTCGACGGCCTCACCAAGGAGGTCCAGCCGATCCAGCCAATCCAAGGCGCAGCGCGTCTTGGCCAAGCTCGGCGACAGCGTGACCACCGACCACATCTCGCCGGCGGGCGCAATCGCCGTAGGCAGCCCGGGGGGCGAGTATCTCACCGACCGCGGCGTCGAGCGCAAGGATTGGAACAGCTATGGCTCTAGGCGCGGCAACCACGAGGTGATGATGCGGGGCACGTTTGCCAATATCCGCATCCGCAACGAGCTGGTGCCCGGCGTCGAGGGGGGCTTGACGCGCCACCTGCCTTCGGGCGAGCAGACGACCATGTACGAGGCGGCGATGCGCTACATCGAAGAAGGCGTGCCTTCGATCGTTATCGCGGGCAAGGAGTACGGAGTCGGGTTCGAGCCGCGACTGGGCAGCCAAAGGTCCCTTTCTGCAAGGCGTCAAGGCCGCAATCGCCGAGAGCTACGAGCGCATCCACCGCTCGAACCTGATTGGGATGGGCATTCTGCCGCTGCAATTTCCCCGGCGAAGATCGCCACTCGCTGGGGCTGACCGGCGAGGAGATATACGATGTCGAGGGCCTCGACGACGACCTACAGCCGGGGCAGGTGTTGGAGGTGGTGGCCAAAAGCGCTGCGGGCGAGCAACGCTTTGCGGTGATATGCCGGATAGACACCCCCGTGGAGATCAACTACTACCGCAACGGGGGGATCCTACACGCAGTACTCAGGCGGATGGCCGAGTAGGGCCTACGAGGAGATGCGATGAGTTCTTGTGTTGTTAAAGACATCGTGCGCACCGTGCTACACGTACCGTTCCACGAGCGCTGCGCCGACACCATGGAAGTCTATGGGCCGGGCTGGTCCATCGTCGAGTTGATCGAAGTAGAGACCGAGGGCGGCGTTGTCGGCATCGGCGAGACGATCAGGGATATACGTGGGGCCACTCGCGCGAAGCGGAGTTTGCTCGCGTGCGCGGCCGGAACGTTTTCGAAATGCTGTGGGACGACTCGCTAGGGGCCGGCTTGCAGATGGCGCTTTTCGACGCGGCCGGCAAGCACTTAGGCGTACCCTGCCACCGGCTGATGGGGCCGCAGCACCGAGACGCCTGCCCGGTTTCTTGGTGGGCGCAAAGTATGCCGCCGGCAGCGTGGGCGGCCGAGGCGCGCGCGGCCGAGGCGCATGGCTTTACCACCATGAAGGTCAAGGCGCGGCCTTGGTACGATATTGCGGCGCAGATACAGGCCGTGGATGAGGCCACTTCTCAGCACTTCAAGCTGGACGCTGATTTCAACACCATGTTGCTGGGGGTTGACCAAGCCGCCCCGCTCATTGCGCGCTTGGAGCGAGACAACGCCTGTCTCGCTATCGTCGAGTCGCCAATTCCGCAGGACGACGTGGAGGGCAACAAGCTCCTACGGCAAAAGATCCAATGCCCAATCGCCATGCACATGGGCCAGCCACCGCCTATGACGGCGATCCGCGAGGGCGTATGCGACGGGTTTGTTATCGGCGGTGGGGTACGCCGCGTCTTGAGCGACGGCAACTTGGCCGAGCGAGCGCACATGCCGTTCTGGTTGCAGATGGTGGGTACCGGCCTGACGGCGACCTTTGCGGCGCACTTGGGGGCGGTGCTAAAGGAAGCGCGCTGGCCGGCGATTCCTTGCGTCAACATCTATTCGCACGTTTTGGTGCAGGAGTTTGCGGTGGAGGGCGGGCATCTGCGGGTACCGGAGGCTCCGGGCTTTGGGGATCGAGTTGGACTGGGAGGCTGTGGAGTGCCTGCGCGTTGAGCCGGATTTTGCGAAAGCGCCGGTGCGCCAAATACACGCCGTGCGCTGGCCCGATGGCCGGATTCTCTGGGCTGCCGACGGCAGTTACCGCGAGCGATTTCACCGCTGGCAAGCGGACGGGTTTCTTGCCGGGGATGCAGCTAGCGGTGCGGCTCGACGACGGCAGCGAAGAATTTGATCGAGAGTATCGGGAGCGTTTCCGGAGCGAGCTTAGGGCGTCACTTGAGTACGGCGACGGCCGCGCCCATGGTTGTGACGAGGATGCTGGTGCAGGCGATGAGCATGGCCATTAGCCGCGCATAGCGCGAATCGAGCTGTTTGGCTAAATCGTCGATGCGCCCGTTGGTCTGATCGATGCGCTCGTGTATTTGTCGGATATCTTGGCGGATGTCTTGGCGCAGGGCCTGAATATCCTCGCGCAGGAAGCCAAGAACGAGGGTGGATTCCGTCGGCTGGCGGGATTACTTGACCAATGCGGCAATTTGCTTGAACTCCGCCGTCCCCGCCTCCTGTAGCAATTCAAAGAGACACATTTCCACCACCGTGATCTGCGCGCCAGCGGACGCCATTTTTTGCAGCCCCAACGCCTTGTTCTCGGCGGTGCGTGAGGCGACGGCGTCGGCGACGACTTCGACTTGGTAGCCTGAGTCCAACAAATCGCGGGCAGTCTGATAGACGCAGATGTGGCTTTCGATCCCGGCCAAGAGAATCTGGCGTCGGCCGCTCTGGCGCAGTTGGGTTTGGAAAGCGCTGAGGCCGCAGGCGCTAAAGCAGGTCTTGACCAGTGGCTTTTGACCGGAAAGCAGGTCGGCGACCTCGGGAATGGTGGGGCCAAGCCCTTTGGGATATTGCTCCAGCCATAGAATGGGTAGCTCCAAGACCTGCGCGCCCTTGACGAGAATCTGTAGCTGGCGGTAGAGCGTCTCGCGCTCGTGCATCAGCGAGGCCAGCTTGCCCTGAATGTCAATGAGGACGAGCGCAGGTGTGGTCGCGGCTGAGCATTAGATGTATCCGGTCGAGCCGTCAGGGCGCATCGGGCTGGAGCGTTCCCAATGGATGTATTCGTTGTCGCGGATGGCTTCTTCATTGACCTCGACGCCTAGCCCCGGCCGGTCCGGTCGCAATTCGAGATAACCGTCTTTGGGCAGATAGGGCTCGTCAACCCAGTCGTTCCACTCGGACTCGGTCGGCAGAATGTATTCGAGAATTTTGAAGTTCGGTGCCGAGGCGCAGAAGTGCAGATTGACCGCAGTCGCCAACGGCCCCATGGGGTTGTGCGGAGCGATGCTGATGTAGTGGGCTTCGGCAATGGCGTTGATCTTGCGCATTTCGAGCAGGCCGCCGCAGACGCAGATGTCGGGTTGGATGATGTCGGCACCTTGGTTGGCTATCAGGTTGAGAAATTCGAAGCGGGCGTAGAGGCTCTCGCCGGTGGCCAACGGCACCTGCATCTGCGACTTGAGGCTGGTCCACGCCGGAATGTGCTCGGGGCGCATAGGCTCTTCGTAGAAAAAAGGATCGTACGGTGCGAGGGCGTTGGCTAGCTGCAAGGCGCGAATCGGCTCGAAGATCTTGGCGTGCGGGTCGAAGGCAAACTCCCAGTCGTCGGGGCAGTTGACGCGCAATTCTTCAAAATACTTGGTCGCCTCGGCGCAGACTCGGCCCCAGCGGTTGGCGTCGGGGTCGAGCTGATAGGGGCTGGTTTTGAAGGCAGTGAAGCCGTATTCCTCGTTCAGACGCCGGGCTTGGTCGGCGGCCTCTTTGCCGTCGCGGCCGCCGATCCCGCGGTACACGCGCACCCGGTCGCGCGCGTGGCCACCCAAGAGCTGATAGACCGGGACGCCCGCGGCTTTGCCGGAGATATCCCACAGCGCGTGGTCGATGCCGGAGATGGCCGACAGGCCGATCCCGCCTGGGGGGAAGCGAAACTGCTGGTGCAGTTTCATCATGATGAACTCGATCCGTCGCGGGTCGATGCCTTTGATTAGCTCAAAGCAATAATCGACGGTTGGGCCGACGGCTAGGTCGGGGCCGATGGAGTAGGTCTCGCCCCAGCCGGTGATGCCCTCGTCGGTCTCGACTTTGACCAAGACGCGGGGGCGGTTGCCGAAGCGGGCGATGATCGGGGTGATGGCGGTGATTTTCACGGCGGGCCTCGCTAGTGGAAGAAGAGGGGATAAGGGGCGTTTTCTGCTTCGCGTTTGATCAGGCTCATCAGCTCCATTGCGTGGTAGTCGCCCCACATGGCCGCCTCGCCGCACGGGATGGCGCGGCCTGGAGGCACGTAATCCCAGCCGTTGGGGCGGTGGTAGATCGCGTGGAGGGTGATGCCTTGGTGTTGGGGATCGACGGAGAGGTACGGCTCCTCTAGGAGGGCGCGGGCAATGGTGAAGGCCGCGGCGCGATAGCGCGTCCCCTTAGCTAGGTCCCCCTTGGACAAATAGTAGTTGCCCAAGCGCAAATACCCTTGGCCGCAGACGGCCGCAGCCGAGCTGTCGAGCGGCTCGACGTCGTTGTACGGGTCGGAGGGCTGGTCGGTTATCGCGCCAAAGGAAGCGACCCCGGGTGCGCCGGTGTCCCAAAACGGCACGCCGTCGGCAAAGCTGTTGGCGATGTGGAATTCAGCGGTGGCTAGGGCGGCTTTTTCCATGGTTTGCACGATGTCGGCCTTGGTGCCGAAAGGCTCGACGTCGACATCGCTGAGGGTGGCGAAATACTCTAGCTGCTCGGCGTAGCCCGCGAGCACCCACGACAGCCCGCGAGTCCAAGTCGAAAACGGGGTGTAGCCCTGCTGGGTGCTGGGGCAGCGGTACTGGCCGTCGCGGGTGTTGAAGATGGATTCGTGGACCACGCGACCGGGCACGTCAAACGCGTCGCGCCCCTCGCCGTAATAGACGTTGAAACGGGCGTTGGTCTGGGCGTGTTCGATCAAGCGGCCGAGCAGGCTGATGCGCTGGTCGCCTTCGCCCATCAGCGCGTGGCCTAGCTGGTGCGCAGTCCCCAAGATGCGCAGCGAGCGCATGGTGTCGGAAAAGAGCGAATGCGGGCCGTTGAAGGAGTGGATAAAACCCGTCCCGTACGCGGTCTCGGTCCAGCGGGCCGCTTGCACGGCACCCGACAGCTTGATGGCTAGCTCGTAGAAATCTAGCTCGCGCTGATCGTGCGGAATGCGGCCTTCGAGCATCAGGCGGCGCAGTTGCCATAAGTGGAGAGGTTGTTGAAGCCGTGGTCGTGGACGCCGACGTGCGAGACGTGCGGCGCCATGTGCGCGATGGTGCGCTCGCGGCCGAGCGCGAGAAAGCGCGCGTCGTCGGTCATGTCGTACTGTAGTATGGCGCAGCCGTATTGGAAGCCTTGGGTCCACTCGGTCCAGCCTCGGGTGGTGTAACGCCCCTGCTGGGTGAAGACGGGGGTGCCGTGGTTTGGGTCCCAGGTGCGAGTCGAGATCGAGGATCTTGGCTCCGGTAAGGGCTAAAAAGCGCTGGATTGCTGGAAGGAGCTTTTGGGCGTTCAGGTCTTGGTCTGGTTTCACGGGACGGTTCCTTTTGCTTGGGCAGCGAGAAGATAGGAGGGGCGTGGAGGTGGGTCAATGCGGATTGGTGGGGCGTGGGTCGCTTGCTTATTTTCTCTCGCCGCACAGACGAGGCCAAGGAGAAGTCACGTGAGCATACTCGACGAAGGCATTGCCTTAAAAGTAGCAGAAACCGCGGGCATTACCCGCCGCAAGTATCCCCTGACAAGGGGCGTTCCCCTGCCTCAAGGCGCCGTAGTAGGTGTGGAGAATTTGTCTTTAGCAGGACGCACAGGGCCGGGATGTCCCGGTGCAGCTACGGGTCTTGGGCCGCTGGCCGGACGGCAGCGCAAAGTGGGTCTTGGTGGACTTTCAGGCCGATGTGGAAGCGGGGCAAGAGGCCGTGTACACCTTGCAATACACAAAGGACCAAAAAGTTGCAGCGAGCGTCCGCGGCGTGGAAATCGCCGAGCGGAAGATCGCTTTGAGGTGTGTACCGGACCCCTGCGCTTTGGCATTGGCAAAAAGGCATTCGCGCTTTTTGACGGAGTAGAGCTAGGGCAGCGAGCCGAGGGGGTCGTTTGTCTCCGAGGTAGAAGTTGCACCTCGGGGCGGCGGCGACGCTTGGGCCAAGATCTCCGAGTCCGAGTTCGCCGGAGGCACGCAGCGGCGCATCTACGGAATGGGGGGCACGTGTCTGGCGTCAGCAGGCGTGGAGGAATACGCCGTCGAGATCGAAGAGGCCGGCCCCTTGCGGGCGGTGATTTGCTGCCGAGGGGCCTACGAGTCAACCGCGCCCATGCACCACTACGCCGGCTATCGCCCGCTGCGCTTTGCAACCCGGATCTACGCCTATGCCGGCCAGGCGCAGGTGCGGGTAGTGCACACGGTGATCGCTACCTGCAATCCGCGTGAGACCGAAGTGGAGGAACTGGGCTTGCGCGTCCCGCTCGTGCCTGAAGGCAGCGGAACTTGGCGCGTCGGGGCGGGCGGGTCATGGCGGGGCCTTGGGTTTCCGAGCGCTACGCATTGCTCTCGCAGCGGCTGGACAATCACTTCTATTGGGAGGAGTACGAGGGCGTTGAGCGCACCGTGCGGGCCGAGGGCGAGCGGGCGGGTGGCTGGATTTGCGCCGAGAACGACCGCGTCGGCGTCGGCGTCGCGCTGCGCTACATGGCCGAGGAGTATCCCAAGGCCCTCGGCGTTGGTGCGCAAGGCATCGATGTCTTTTTTTGGCGCGACCCAGAAGGCCGGCGGCTCAGCTTCAAGCGCTACGCCGAGGAGGTGGCTTGGCACGAGGGCGAAGGGGTCTATGCCGACGGCACGGGCACGGCGAAGAGCAGCGAGTTTTTCGTTGACTTTTTTCGCGCTGGTGCTGCCGACGGCGAGCGGTTGCAGGGCCTTTTGCACCCGCCGCAGGTGAGCGTCGCGCCGGAGTGGGTGGCGCAGAGTGGGGCAGTCGGCGGCTTGGCAACCGGCGCGGAGTTCCCGCGCGCCGACCGCATGTTGACGGGTTTTGTCGCCTGGATGGAAGGGCACATTGAGCGCTATCGCTGGAAGGGTTTTTTCGATTGGGGCGACGTGATGGCCACTTGGGAAGAAAGCGCGGGCGGCTGGCGCTTTAAGGGCCGCTGGGGTTGGTGCAACAGCGAATGGGATCCGCGCCACGCCGTGTGGTTGCAGTACTTGCGCACGGGCGAGGGGCGCTACTACGCGCTCGGCGAGGCCATGACCCGGCACTCGCTGGACGTAGATACCTGCCACTATCACCCGTTGCGGCCCTACATGGTCGGCGGCTGTTTTCGCCACAGCATGGACCACTTTGGCGACGAGCCGTGCGCTTCGCACACCTTCATCGACAACTGGGTGGACTACTACTACTTGAGCGGCGACGAGCGAGCGCGGGAGGTCTTGCACGAGGCCGGGGAATTTTTCCTGCGCTACCGCTGGAGCGAGGACCCGCGCTACAGCTTCAGCTTGCGCTCCATCGGCAACGCGCTAGCGGGGCTTGCTCTACCTGTACGAGCTGACCGGCGAAGCGCGCTTTATGCGCCGCGCCGACGAGGTGTACGACGCGGTGGCTCGCGGCCAAAACGAAGACGGTAGCTGGCACAAGCGCTTCCAGGTGTCCACTGAGGGCAAGCTGTCCGACCAAGGGCCGTACGGCATGGCCACTGAGGGTACGACCCTCGCGGTGGAAATGGGCGCGGCGGCTCCCGTTTAGCGACGAAGAATTCCTCGCGCTGCGGGGGAGCTTTAGTGCATTAAAGCGGGTTTTGCCCTACGAGGAGCAAAAGGGCTATCAGACTCACTATTTGATGGTCGGGCTGGAGCGGCTACACAGGATGACCGGGCGCGCGGATGTGGCCGAGGTTTTCGTGCGGGCCGTCGATTGGTTTTGCGGCGGCAAAGGCGTCTTCGACGCCGAGTTTGCCTGCGCCCAGAGCTACCACGGCGTGCTCTGTGGCTCGCTGGCGTACGCGTGGCGGCTGACCGGGGAGCGGGGCTATCTGGAGATAGGGCGCGCGGTGCTGGCCGAACTGATTGACCAACAGGACTGGAGTGACCGCCCGGATTACCGGGGCGCGGTGGCCATGCACCCGACTGCGTTGAGCTTAGTATTTTTTGGCGTGCCGTCGCTACTAGGAGCGCTCGCCGAAGCCGACTTAGAGGAGATACCGAATGCCTGAAAGACCCAATATCATCCTGATTATGACCGACCAACAGCGCTTCGACACAATCGGCGCTTGGGGCTGCGACTATGCGATTACGCCGGCGATGGACCGCTTGGCCGCCGAGGGGCTTTCCTTCCGCAATGCCTTTTGCCCGGGCGCGACCTGCATTGCCTCGCGGGCGGCGATCTTCACGGGTATGTACCCGCACAATACCGGCGTGTACAGCTTCGACCACTGGGCCGATCACCGCAATTGGGTGCAAGACCTCAACGATGCGGGATATCACTGCGTCAACCTAGGCAAGATGCACTTTGCTCCACGCGATGTCGCCGGGGGCTTCCACGAGCGGGTTATCGTGGAGAATCCCACCAGCAAGCACCTCGACTCGGGCGGGGCGGACGACGATTGGGGCCGCTATCTGCGGATTCACGGCTTAGAGCGGCCCAACGACCGCAACAAGACCGATCCCCATTGGCTACAGAAATATCAAGGGGTCCCTTGGCACTTGGAGGAGCGCTTTCACTCGGATGTCTTTATCGGCGACTCCGCCCTTGCTTGGATCCGCGATTACAAGGGCCAACAACCGTTTTTCTTGCAGATAGGTTTTACCGGCCCGCACGAGCCATGGGACCCGCTGCCGAGGCATCTGGAGCAGTACGCAGGGCGTCCAATGCCCCCGCGCGTGATGCGCGAGGGCGAGTTGGAGGACAAGCCGCCCCAGCACGCGGCGCAGAGAAAAATGCACGCTGAGACCGAGCACGAGTCCGCGATCGACATGTACTCGCCCAGCGAAGAAGATATCGCCCACATGCGGCGGCACTACTACGCTAAAATCACCACGGTGGATGAGAAGTTGGGCGAGGTCCTCGACGCGCTGCAGACGCGGGGCTTTTTGGACAACAGCCTGCTGATCTTCTGCTCGGATCACGGCGAGCTGTTGGGCGACCACGGGCTGGCGTACAAGTGGCTGATGTACGACCCCGTGGTACACGTGCCGCTGATTGTGCGCGACAGTCGTCGGACGCAAAAGGGCGATGCGGTCGGCGACTTGGTTTCGCTGATGGATTTGGGGCCGACGATCCTAGAAGCGGCTGGCGTGGAGGTGCCCAGCTATCTGGAGGGGCGCTCGCTGCGGCCATACTTGGAGGCACCGGACGCGGGTTTTGCTCCGCGCGAGTGGGTGTTCTGCGAGGACAACTATCAGGTGATGATGCGTGGCCAGCGGCACAAAATGGTCTATTACATCGGCCAAGATCAGGGCGAGCTGTACGACTTGGAGCAGGATCCGCACGAACTGTGGAACCTCTGGGGTCGAGCCGAGCAGCGGGAACTGCAAAACGAGCTTATGGCCCGTCTGCTGCGCTGGCTCGCCGCGAGCACTTACTACAATGCTGGCTACCGCCGCCAGCGCAGTCGGCAGTACGCGATGCGCTGGCCGCGCCCGGACGACGCGTTTTTACACGGGGCACAGGCACGGCCGGTGCCCGCGTTCATTTGATCTCTAAGATTCGGCTAAGAAGCCAGCGAGCAGATCGACAGCGGCGGCTCGGTCTATTTTGCCGGTGTTGATCGTCAGGTCGTAGAGCAGGGGGTCGTTCCAGTCGGCGTTGTGGAAGTTGCGCAGGTAGCTCTGTCGCCATTGGTCGTGTTGCTCGATGAGTTTCTGCGCTTGTTCGCGATCCATGTCGCGGTTCTGCATCAAGCGTTCAATCCGCGTTTCGAGCGGGGCGATGATCTTGACGTGGCAGGCCTTGGGGAGATCGGCGAGGATGACTTGGCTGGCTCGGCCGACGATGACGGCCTTGCCGTCTTGGCCGAACTCCTGCATGAGGGTCGTGATGAGTAGCTGGTACGTGCCGCGGTCGAGGTACGTTGCTTCGCCGACCTCGTAATCGCGCATGTGGGGAAACTCGAGCCCAAACTCAGGCGCGTACGCGGCAGCCGATAGGGGAAAGTCCCCGGGGCGACTTCGGGCACGAGCAATTTCTTGAGGAAGAACTTGAGCCGGCCCTCTCCCTTTTCGTCGTAGCGCTCGACCTCTTCGACCGAGGTATCCGTGATGCTGGCGATCTCTTCGACGAGGCGGCGGTCGATAAATTCGTAGCTCAGCTTAGCGGCCAACTGCTCGGCGATCCAGTCGCCAAAGCTGCCGAGCTGACGGGCAACCGTGATGACAGTCATAGCGAGTCTCTTAGGTTGGAAGTGCTCAGGTACCAGTCTGTACTCATTTGTAAAGAGTATAAAAGGCGGGCGTTTGTCATGTCAACGCTTGTCTGCCCGGCCTAGCTGCGGTCCCAAGCGGATGGAATGGGTTTTGACGAGGCAGTAGATCGGGTCGCCGATGCTGAGTTGCATTTCCTCGATGGCTTCTGGGGTCGTCTTGGCGGCTAGCCGCCGCCCGACATCCACGTAGATGAGTCGTTTCCCCCCCACATCGGCGATTGTGCTGATAGTCCCCTGCAAAGCATTGCGCACGCTTAGCCCCTCGGGGCGCTGGCGGGCGAGGACGATGTCGTCGGCGCGGATGCCGATGAAGAGGCGGCTGCCGGCAGGATAATCGCAGTAGGGAATTTTTAGCTGCTGACCGTGGCACCGGACCTCGCAGACGCCCCGCTCAGCGTCGCTCGCTGCGATTTCCACGTCGAGGACGTTTTCAAAGCCGTGCTCTTCGACCAGCGGCAGGACTTGCGGGTGGGCGGCGATGGTGAAAAAGTCGCCGTGCGCGACGACCTGGCCGCTGGTCGAGGACGACGACTTGGCTGGTGAGTTCGAGGATTTCGGCGACCGAGTGGCTGACGTAGAGAATGGGGATCTGGAGCGCGTCGCGGACGTGGCACAAGTAGGGAATGATGCGGTTTTTGAGGCCCTGATCGAGCGAGGCTAGCGGCTCGTCCATCAGCAGGAGGCGCGGAGAAGTGAGCAAGGCACGGCCCAAGGCAACGCGCTGGCGCTCGCCGCCGGACAGGTGTCCCGGCCGACGCTTGAGCAGGGGACCGATTTCGAGCAAATCGACGATTTGGTCCAAGGCAAAGCGGCGCGCCGCTGCCGGCAGCAGGTCGCGGCCATAGCAGAGGTTTTCCTCGGTGCTCAGGTGCGGAAAGAGCAAGTCGTCTTGAAACACGTAGCCGACGCGGCGGTGCTCGGGCGGTAGATCGATGCGCTGGGTCGAGGAGAAGAGGGTTTGGCTGTCCAAGGATATTTCGCCGGCGTCCGGCTGCACCAGCCCGGCAACTAGGTTGAGCAGCGAGGTCTTGCCCGCGCCCGACGGCCCGTAGATGGCGGTGACGGCATGGTGGCACTCGATATCGACGTCGAGCGCGAAGCGGCCTAGCTGGTGTTGAGCGCGGAGGTGGAGCATGGCTAACTCGAGCGCAGGCGACGGGCCGACCACTCGCTGGCCACGAGCGCCAGCAGCGAAAGCGCGACCGAGACCACGATTAGCCCGACGACGCGGCTTTCTCCGTCTGGTTGGTTGAGATACGTGTAAATGGCCGAAGGAATGGTGCGGGTCTGTCCGGCGATGTTGGCCGCAAAAGTGATGGTCGCGCCGAACTCGCCCAACGAGCGGGCAAAGGTCAACAGCGAGCCGACCAGCAGGCCGGGAGCGGCGAGGCGCAAGGTCACGGTCAGAAAGGCGCGCACCGGACCCGCCCCGAGGGTGCGGGCGACGCGCTCTAGGCGTGGATCCACGCTCTCAATCCCGAGGCGCACGGAGCGCAACATCAGGGGAAAGCCGACCACGGCCGAGGCCAGCACCGCGCCCTTCCAGTCGAAGGCCAACTGGAGGTCGAGCGCGGCGAGCACCGGGCCGAAGACACCGCGGCGGCCAAAAAGCAACAGGAGCAGATAGCCGGTGACCACCGGCGGCAGGACCAGCGGCAGGTGACAGAGGCCGTCGAGCGCGATCTTGAGCGGAAACTCCCGCCGGGCCAGCAGCCAGCCCAGCAACACGGCCGGCACTAGGCTCAGCAGCACGCAGCAAAAGGCCACGCGCAGCGAGAGCAAGAGAACCTGCACTTCCTCAGCGCTGAACACCTTGGTCGCCCAAAAAGGTAAAGCCGTGTTTGCGGAAGATGCCGGCGGCCGTGTCCGAGCCAAAGAACGCCAACAGGTCGCGGACCTGCGCGCTGGCGCGGCCTTTGACGATGGCCGCTGGATAGACGATGGGGCGGTGCAGTGAGTCGGGCACCGTCGCTAGGGTTATTACGCGGTCGCTTTGGGCCGCATCGGTGGCGTACACCAAGCCCGCGGCGCACTCGCCGCGCTCGACGTACACTAGGGCGGCGCGGACATCGGGCGCGGGTGCAATGCGGCTTTTGAGCGCCAGCCACCAGCCCAATTGCTCTAGGGTTTGGCGGGCGTACTGGCCGGCCGGGACGTGATCGGGGTCGCCGAGGGCCAAGCGGCCAGCGAAAGCACCGGCAAAGTTGAAGTCCCTAGCCAAGCGGACGGCGAAAGGCCCTTCCTTGGATGCAATGACCACGAGGGTGTTGCCGAGGAGATCAACGCGGGTGTCTTGCTCAATGTGCTGGCGCGCTTGGAGATAGTCCATCCACTCGACATTGGCGGAAAAATAAATGTCGGCTGGCGCACCGGCGGCAATTTGTTTGGCCAAGGTCGAAGAACTGGCAACGGACAGGCGCATCCCCTCGTAGTGGGTGGCCAGCTCTGCGAGTGCGGAGCTTAGGCTAGCGGCGGCGAACACGCTTTGGGCCGCTGCTAGCGCGGGGCAGAGCAAGAGTAGTAAGATGCTAACTGTGCGTAGGGTCATGGTGCCAAAACTCGGCCAGCGACTGGGCGATATGGGCTGGGTTGCGGACGGAATGCACTGGGTGCCAAGAGGAGGGAAAGAGCTGGCGGTAGCGGCTTTGCGCAAAGCGGCGATCGACGAGGAGGATCGCGCCGCGGTCGCTCGCGGTGCGGATGACGCGGCCGGCGGCCTGCAACACGCGGTTCATGCCCGGATAGACGTAGGCGTACGCAAAGCCGGGAATCTCGCGCTCGTCGAAATAGTGGCGGATCAGATCGCGCTCCAAGCACAGTTGCGGCAGCCCAACGCCGACGACCACTGCACCGACCAGTCGCTCGCCGACTAAATCGATCCCCTCGCCGAAGACGCCGCCCATCACCGCGAAACCCACTATGTGCTGCGCGGGCTGCAATGGCTCCGCGTCGAAGACGGAGAGGAATGCCTCGCGCTGGCGGTCGGACATGCCGCTTTCTTGGACGAGAGAGGTCGATGCTCGGGTGCGCTTCGGCAAAGCGCGAGGCCACTTCCTCCATGTATTTGTACGAAGGGAAAAAGGCGAGGTAATTGCCCGCGCGCTGGCGGACGAGGGCGGCGATGGACTCGGCGATGTCGTCGTAGCTCTCGCCGCGCTTTTTGTACGTCGTCTCAATGTGGTCGGCCAGCAGCAGGCGCAGGTGCTCGGGCGGGAAAGGCGAACCAAGGCTCAACAAGGTATCCCCTTCCTCGCCGCCGAGCAGGTCGCGGAAGTACGCCAGCGGCGAGAGCGTGGCCGAGAAGAATACGGCTGCGCAGCCGCGCCCTAGGGCTTGGCGGATATTGGGCGCTGGGTCGAGACAGAACAGCCGGAAGCGAATATCCCGACCCTGTTTTTCGGTGTATGTGGTGTAGTGTTCGTCGAAAAGCTCGCCGATGCGCTCAAAGCCCAGTGCCCGGAAGTAGCACTCGATCAATTCGTCCCAAAAGGGCAAGGCAGCGCCTTGCTCTAGGACCTTCTCAGCGGCGCGGAGGACGTTGTGCACCAGCGCCATCAGATCCGTCGATAGTTGCGGGCTGATCCAGCACTCGCCGTCGCCTTCCTGCTCGACCTTCTTGCCGAGCTTGGCAAAGTAGCGGTTGAGGGCGTCGAGTTGCTTGCCCAAGTCGGGATGCGTCTTGCCGACTAAGCGCTTGAGCCCAGAGATCTCGGCCTTGCACAGATCGGCCGAGAACATCTCGCGCGCCCGATCGACGAGATTGTGCGCCTCGTCAATCAGGAAGGCGTATTGCCCGCTGACGTCTTGGAAGAAAGCGCTTGAGGAAGGCTCGCGGATCGAAGACGTAGTTGTAATCGCAGATGATGACGTCGGTCCACGGCGCGAGATCGAGCGAGAACTCAAAGGGGCAGACGCGGTGCTTTTGGGCGCATTCCTCGACGAGAGAGCGGGTGAAGGCGTCGTGGGTGAAGATGTCTTCAAGCGCGTCGTTGATGCGGTCGTAGTAGCCACGGGCGAACTCGCATTGGTCGGGATCGCAGGTGCTGCCGCCGTTGGGTTTGAAGCAGATTTTGTCGCGGGCCGTCAGCGTCAGGCTCTTGAGGCGCGCGCCTCCCCCGCGCAGGTCGTCAAGGGCCTTTTCGGCGATCCTGCGTCCGCTGGTCTTGGCCGTCAGGTAGAAGATTTTTTCGGCATGGCCCAAGCCGAGGGCCTTGGCCGCCGGGAACAGGGTCGAGATGGTCTTGCCGATGCCGGTGGGTGCTTGGGCAAAAGCCCGCCCGCGGCCGTCGATGGTGCGGTAGGTGACCACGGCCAGATCGCGCTGGCCGGGCCGGTACTCGGCAAAGGGAAATTTGAGCGCCTCAAGCGAAAGGTCGCGCTCGGCACACCACTGGTGATAGATTCGCGCCCAATGTAGGTAGCGCTCGATGAGATCGGAGCAAAACGCCGCCAGTTCGTCGCATGCAAAGGTGCGGCGATCCTCGCGGCGCTCATAGGTATCCAACTGAAGGTAGGTTAGCTGGATGTCGATGGCGTCGAGGCCACTTTGCTCGGCGACCATAAAGGCGTAGAGCTTGGCCTGGGCCCAGTGCGCTGGGTTTTCAGGGACCTCGTCGAGGTCGGCCTCGGTAGTCTTGATTTCCTCGATGAGCACTGCGTCGTCTTCGACGAGCAGGCCGTCGATGCGGCCGCTTATTTCGAGGGCGATCTCGTCGGTTTCGACCAGATAGGAGATGGGCACTTCCGCCTGATAGTCGGCGGGGCGGGCGCGCTGGACTTGCTGGTGGCCGCGCGTGCCTTCCACTAGGCGGTCGGGGCGGGAAAAGCCGCCGGAGACTAGGTCGCCGGAGCGCAGCACGAAGCCGATAAGTTCGCGGACCGAGGTTTTGAGCAGGCGCGGGGGCATGGTGTATAATATAGGGTGCTATCAGGCACTTGCATTTTCACAGGAGACGACAATGAGTCAATCCGTAGTCTTGGGCGTCATCGGCGGGTCGGGGTTGTACCATATAGAAGGAGTCGAAACGGTCGCCGAGCACCGGCTAGATACGCCCTTTGGCGCGCCCTCGGACGCCATCGTCGAGGCGCGAATTGGCGACCGCACGGTGCATTTTCTGCCGCGACATGGCCGGGGGCACCGGCTGCTGCCAGCCGAAGTGCCCGCTCGCGCCAATATCCACGCGCTCAAGCAACTGGGTGTGAACCACGTTTTGGCCATCAGTGCCTGCGGCATCATGCAGGAAGCGATCCGGCCTGGGGACATGATCGTGCCCGACCAGATTTTCGACCGCACGCGCGGACAACGCCCATCGACGTTCTTCGGCGACGGGATCGCCGGACATGTGATGTTTGCCGACCCATTCTGCGAGACGTTGCGGGGCGTGGTCATGGCTGCGGCCCAGTCGGCGGGTGCCAACGTCCACGAGGGGCGGCACGTACCTCTGCATGGAGGGGCCGGCCTTTTCCACCCGCGCCGAGTCGCATTTCTACCGCAACGCCGTGGACGCGGCCGTGATCGGCATGACCGCTCTGCCCGAGGCTAAGCTGGCGCGCGAGGCGGAAATGTGCTACGCACTGCTGGCGACGGGCACGGACTACGACTGCTGGCACGAGGAGGAGGAAGACGTGACCGTCGATCAAGTGCTAGCGGTGCTACAGGCGAACAGCGCCTTGGCCAAGCAAATCGTTTCCGAGGTTGCCACGCGCCTGTCGGCTGAATCCGCTTGCCCTTGTCTGCGCGCCGCCGAACGCGCCATCATCACCGACCCAGCGGTGATTCCTCCAGAGGCGAAGGAGCGGCTCAGGGTGCTCTACGGAAAGTATCTAGACTGATGAACAATCCCTTTAGAATAGCGGTCGTAGGCGTCGGCCGGATTGGCGCATTTCACGCCCGCCACGTCCAAGAGCTGGCCAGCGAGCGGGGCGATTGCGCGTTGACAGCCGTAGTGGACGGCTACGGCGACTTGGCCGCCGAGATCGCGGCTCAGCTACAAGCAGGCCAAGAAACGGCGATTAGTGTTTTCAAAGACGTAGAGGAACTGGTCGCCGCTAAGGCAGCCGACGGCGCGTTCATTGCCTCGCGCACTGAAAACCACTACCGCGATGCCCAGACTTTGATCGACGCGGGCTGGCGCGTGCTGATGGAAAAGCCGCTGACGCACTCGCTGGCCACCGCGCGGGAGTTCGCCGCCTATCTAGACGCCGACGCCTTTCGCCGCACGGCGCTGATGCAGGCTTTTATGCGCCGCTTCGACGCGCCGCTGTTGTGGGCCAAAGCCCTGTTGGATCGAGGTGCTATCGGCGCGCCGTTCAAGATCGTCTCGATTCTCGAAGATCCGCTGCCGCCGCCCGACGGGTACAACAGCTCTGGCATACTTTCGGATATGGCGGTACACAATATCGACGAGATCCTCTGGCTCGGCGGGCAGCAGCCCGAACGGCTGGCTGGCTTTGGCAGCCTGCTTTACAACCAGCAGCACACGGACGTCAAAGAGGATTTCGACGACGCGCTCTTGCAGATGTACTTTCCCGAGAATTTGATTGGCCAAGTGACGGTGAGCCGCAACCACGTGGCTGGGTATCGCAACGAGACGTGGGGTTTACGGGACGGAGGGAGTGGTGCATGTGGGGGCCTTTGGTGCCGACCCGCTTATAGTGAAAACCGAGGCATTTGGGCGGCGGGGCTTAATCGAGCGGCGGGAATTCACCCTGCGCGATTACGGAGCAGAAGTGCCGTTTTTTATCGAGCGCTTCGGGCCGGCGTACAAGGCCGAGGTAGCCCACTATATTGACCAGTGCCGCGCTGGAGCACCGTTTGCCGTTGATCACCGCGATGGGCTGAGGGCGCTGGAGATCGCAATGGTGGGGAGCGGGGCGTTGCAGGGACGCGAGGGAGGCGTAGCGGTATGAAAGTCACGAGGATCGAGACCCTGCGGGCCAGCCGCTTTATCTACGTGCGGGTGCACACCGACGAGGGCATAGCGGGTGTCGGCGAGTTGCACCCCGCAAGCGGTACCAGCGGCACGCCGTTTGCGCCCATTGCGGCGGTGGATTACTGCGCCGAGTACCTAATCGGCAAGGACCCCCTCCACATTGAGCGCAACTGGCAGCACATGTTCCGCCGCTGCGTGTTTCGCGGCGGCGCAGACACCATGGCCGCGATCGGTGCAATCGACATCGCGCTATGGGACATCAAGGGCAAGGTAGCCGAGCTACCCGTCCATTCGCTGCTGGGCGGTCCCACGCGGGAGCGCGTGCGCGTGTACTCCCATCTGCAGGGCGACTCCCCGGCGGAGTTGGCCGAAGACGCCCGGCGCATGGTCGAGGCTGGCTACACAGCCCTGCGCCTCTATCCGTTCGGCGCCTTTGTGGCCGGCGAGGGCACGAGCCTAGAACAACTGTCGTTCCGCGGTATGGCTAAGCACGCCGCGGCTACCCTGCAGGCGGTCCGCGACGCCGTGGGTGACGAGATCGATCTCATGGTCGATGTGGTCAACCGCCTCACGCCGCCGGAGGCCATCGAGGTGGCCAAGGCGCTTGAGCCCTATGGCCTGTTTTTTTTCGAGGACCCCATCGAGCCCGAGAACATGGACGCGTGGGGCCATGTCGCGGCAAATATGCCGGTGCCCGTGGCCATGGGCGAGCGGCTCTACACCACCTACCAGTTCCGCGAGCTGCTGGCCCACAAGGGGGCCTCGTACATCCGGCCGGACCTGTCGCTCGCCGGTGGAATCACGAATTGCAAAAAGATCGCGGCGCTGGCCGAAGCAAGCTACGTGGGAGTCGCCCCGCACAACCCGCTGAGTTGCGTCCTGACCGCGGCGTGCGTGCAACTCGACGCCGCCATCCACAACGTCGCCATCCAAGAGTACCCACGGGACGAGGACGACCCCCCGAAACGGGATTTGGTCGAGATGCCACTGCGACGCGAGGGCGGTTTTCTGATTGTTCCGCAGACTCCCGGCATTGGCATTGAACTGAACGACGAAGCGTTCCCGCACTACCCGCCTGTGCCTTATACCCGGCGCCGGTGATTGGACCCGACGGCGCCCTGCGGGACTACTGATTAGAGCACCTCTGAACGCGGTCCCAGGCAGACGACTAGCGCATTGTCAGCTCGGCGAGGTAGACGGCTGTGCTGCCTTCATGGCTCGAGTAATAAGACAGCAGTCCTCGTTCTGCACTCAGCGCCACAAACCCGGGATAAGAGCAGTCGCCACCGCTCGGCAGTTCCACTACTTCGTGCAGCGCGTCCCCGTGCAGCCAGTAGAGCGAGGTCGCCGCGGTGTCGTCTGCCTTGCGTTTGCGTCCTCCCACGAGGTAGCGGTCGCCCCATCGCGTCAGCAAGGGGCCACCAACATTGCGGTCGAGGAGTACGGATGTCCAGGCCGTCCAGGGGGGTGCCGACCGGCAGATGCGAGCCCGCGCTTCGCCGCCGCCGCGGACCAGCGCCACCGCGGAACCATCTGCGTCGAACAGGAACGCGGTTTCATCGCCGAAATCCCCGACGAACAGAGACCGGAAAGACCACACTAGGCCGTCAACACTTTCGAGCATCGCCGCCTCGATCGACTCGGGCTCCTGCTCGTCCTCTATGCCGGGCGCGTACGCGCGGCGGCGGCGGCCGCACAAAAACGCGCGGTCGCCGTGCGCAGCCGCCCGCCAGATATAATGGCCGTACGTGCCCTCCATCTGCGTCGGTCCGCTCCACTCGGATCCGTCCGCGGTCCACGCAGCGTACCCGAGATGTTCGTTGAGGTTCAGGGGGAGACCCGCCTCCGGCAGTAGCCAAGTACCGGTGTAGACGAACAACGATCCCTTGAAGATGAGGAAGTGGGGGTCGCGCGTGTCGCGACCTGGGACGCAAAAGGTGAATGCCTCGGACCAACTCCGACCATCGTCGCTCTCGAGGACGACGACGCTGGCGGAGCTCGAGATGCCGTGGCCGTCGGGAGAGCTCCGGAAGGTCAGGTAGAATCTGCCTGAGTAGGAGCAGAAATCCGTGAAGGCGTTGTGGTTGGCATCCTTGCGAATGGTTGTTAAGGTCTCGATCTGAATGGTCGGCAAATGAGACATTGTCGTTGTGCCTTTCTCGGGGGGGTGGTAGAGAGCTTCTCAGGCGCCCTCCTCGACCTGGCGCGCCATCTGCGCCATATAGGCGGCTCGACCCATGAGGTCTTTCTTGTAGTTCCAGCGCATCTTTTCCGGGTACATCACCAGGGAGCGATCCGCCAAGGGCAGGGACACCCGGGCGCCGCCCTGTCGGTGCGATTGGCGCAGGGCCACGGCCAACTCCAGGGCATGGCGCAAATCGTCGCCGCTGGTGATTGCCAAGTCTCCGCCTTCTTCCAGGACGCGGACGATATCCTCGACAATGGCCCGCATCACCGGCCCGGGATCCTGCCAGCCCTCGTCGTCGTACCCCCTCTCCTCCTCGGTGTATTGCTCGAACACCCCTTCCACCTCGACCAAAGGGCCCCCTCGACCGCTGTGCTTGAACAGGCGCAAACCCAAGGCCGTATTGTTCCAATTGCAGATCAGTCCCTCGCTGCCCACCACCTCGAGGCCGCGCCAGGTCGGGCCCGGGAAGCTGCTGAAGCACTCTATGCCATTGCCAAAGCGAATGTACCCACCCACTCCGCCGAAACCAGTGGCTCCTTCCTCGTAGGGTTCTTCGTGATCGCTGTGGGGATCGCCCCCGACCCGGCCGACGACCCACTCCGCCGGCGCCCTGGCGGCGAACTTGCGCGCCAAGTTCAAACCGTGGCAGCCACCCTGGCCGTTGCCGTCGTACAGATTGATGCGCTGCACTTGGCCAATCGCCCCCCCCGCGGCCAACTCGTAGGCCCGGCGGTAGTCTGGATGGCTCGACACCATGACGCCCGAGGCCAGATACACGCCCCGCCGCTGGCAGCTCTCCACCATGCGGTCGGCTGCGGACAGCCGGGCCGTTAGCGGTTTTTCGCAAAAGATGGCCTTGACCCCGGCCTGGGCCGCGGCCACCACTGCTCCGGCGTTGGCTCCCACCGGCAGCACTGGCATGGCGATATCGATCGACTCGCGTGCCAACATCTCCTCGTAGGTGGCGTAGCCGGGCACCCCGAAGCGGCGGCAACCCAGCGCCAGATTTTCCGCATCCGTATCGGCAATGGCCACCACCTTGCACAAGGGGTGCACATCAAAGGCCCGGGCCCGGCTGGTGCCGGCCCGTCCGCAGCCAATGACGCCGACCCGGTATTTGGCTTCTCGCTTTTCTCGCATGGAGATCTGTCCTACTATTGGATGAGACCAGCTAAAATACTAGTTCATTATTAATTGTAAGAAAAATTGCTAGCGCCCAACGCGAAGCCTCGCGATTCGCTGTTGTCTCTTCGGGCTGGGGGTTATTTTTCGCAGGTTGTACATAGTCCCATTGGCAACTTTTGCGGAGGACTGTCCATGTCCACTACCTATTGTCCCCAATGCCGCCGCGTCACCAACACGCACATTGTCCTTGAGCCCCCGCGCCGGACGCCCAAAGGGAAGGAACCAGCCCTGCGAGTCTTGCATTGTACCCTTTGCAATGGTTTTATTCGCAGCGAGGAAGTGCCCCGCGCCGAAGAGAAGGATAGCGTACAGTAGCTGCGACGGATGAACGAGACCTGGCCATAGGGGATTATTATGGTACTAGCCTGCGCTTTATTTTTTTCTTCATAGATTTTTTCCTGATTTTTTCCTTTCCTTTTTTGGGCCCGTATCTCGGATGGAGAGTAGAGATACCAGCCTATTTCGTCCCGTTTCCCGCCTTTTTTCTCGCCCTGTTTCCCGCCCTGTATCTCGGATGGATGGAAGAA